GGGAAACTACAAGAAGAAGGGCCTTAATGGTAGGTGTCTACTACAGATCACCACACCAGGAGGAGGAGCTGGATCTGGAATTTTCCAGAGAACTGATGGAGGCTCAATTACCCTGACATCTGCTCGGAGGAGCACTGGGCCTGATATGACTGGTCACATAAGGTTTTTGACCTGCACGGAACTTTATTTAGTATAAGAGGTGAACAGACCAACCAGGGAGAAGGCTTTGTTGGATTTGGTTTGAGCCAAAGGGGATGACCCAGTGGGAGATCTGACAATTGAGGGTAATCTAGGAGATAGTGATCGTGAAATATAGAATCCACTATTCATCATAGGGCAGGGAAGTCAGCCAGTAGGGGAGAGGTGCTTGACTTCAGGAAAGCTGACTTCGATAGTTTTAGGAAAATAGTGGGAGATGCCTTATAGGAAGAGGGACTGGAGGGAAAGGGAGTTCAGGAAGGGTGGTCATTCCTTAAAGTGTAGAAAAGGCCCATTTCTGTATGCAGGAAAGGTGGTAAACGGGCCAGGAAGCCCTCCTGGCTTACCAGAGGAGTCAAGGAGTGCTTAAAAAAGAAAAAGGCGGCTTCTGGACAGTGGAAGCAAAAGGGTAGCCTCCAAGGAGAAATACACAAGCATAGCCTGTACAGCTACTCCTTGCTTAATGACATAATTACGTTCTTGAAAAATGCAACTTTAAGCAAAACAATCTTAAGCGAATCCAATTACATCACTGTAGTTACCTACTAGAAGGCAGCAGCCAAACTATGTTATAACCGAACACTGCACAACTTTAAACAAGTATTTTCTCTAATAGATCAGCAACGTAGTAATGAAACAACATTAAGCAAAACACCGTTAAGTGGAGAGTACCTGTATTTGTAGGGAGAGGATAAGGAAGGCAAGGGTGGTGACTGAGATCAGGTTGGCAACCAAAATCAAGGACAAGAAGTCCTTCTTTAGCTATACAGGGAGCAGGAGGAAGACCAAGGAAAGCATGGGGCCCTTGCAGAACAGGAAGGGACAGCCGATAACAGACAATCAGGAGAAAGGTGAACCTTTAATGAATACTTTGCGTCAAGTGTTCCTGCATGCAAATAGTGGTCACCCGCCTAGTCCAACACTGGATGGATGGAGGGGGGAGGCGATTGCCAACCAATGGTCAGTGTCAAATTGGTGAGGGAGCACTTAAGAGTGGCTGAATGTCTTGAAGTTGGCAGAACCAGATGGACTACACCCGAAAGTGCTGAGGGAATTGGCTGGAGTCACTGCAGGACCACTGGCAAAAGTATCTGAAGACTTGTGGTGCTTAGAAGAGGTCCCAGAAGACTAGAGAAAGGCCAATGTGGTGCCAGTCTTTAAGAGAGGAGGGAGGATCCAGGAAACTATAGGCCAGTCAGTTTGACCTCAGTACTGGGTAAAATTTTGGAAAAAATGATCAAGTCCATTTGTGAGAGACTGGCAGAAGGCATGATGCTGAAAGACAGCCAACATGGTTTCACTGCGGGGAGGTCATGCCTAACCAACCCCATCTCAGTCTTTGATCAAGTAGAGAACTGCTTAGTGTGGGAAATGCGGTACATGTCATATACTTGGATTTTAAAAAGGCCTTCGATATGGTCTCGCATGACACACTTATTAAAAAAAAAACTGGGGGATTGTGGGCTGGCCGAGTCCATGGTCAGGTGGGTTGGGAACTGGCTAAGGGGTCAAATCCAAAAAGTATTAATGGATGGGTCTGTAATGTCTTGGTGGGAGGTAGCCAGTGACTGCACCTGGGGTCCCACAGGGTTCAGATTCTTGGTCCTGTGCTGCTCAACATCTTTATCAACTATTTAGAGGAGGATGCAGAAAGCACGCTGGCCAAGTGTGTGGAATGATACTAAGTTATGGGGAAAAGCAGTCATGCTAGGGAATAGGATATGGATTCAAGCGGACCTGGACAAGCTGGAAAGGTGGGTGGAGCAGAACCAGATGCAGTTCAATAAGGATAAATGCAGAGTGCTTCATCTGGGGAGATGTAACCAATGACATGAATACAGGTTAGGAGGAGATGTCCTGGCCAACACAATGGCTGAAACAGACCTTGGGGTTATGGTTGATCACAGGATGAACATGAGCTGCCAGTGTGATGCTGCAGTCAACAGAGCTAAGAGCTGGGATGCATCAGCCAATGTGTTGCAGTGTGATGTTGTAGTCAACAGAGCTAAGAGCTGGGATTCATTAGCCAATGTTTTGCAAGCAGGGCTAAGGAAGCGATACTTCTTCTCTACTTGGTGCTGGTGAGACCTCAGCTGGAGTACTATGTCCAGTTCTGGGTTCTTCACTTCAAAAAAGATGTAAAGAATCATGAAAGGGCCACAAGAATGATTAAGGGCCTGGAGGACAAACCTTATGAGGAAAAACTAAGAGATCTGGGACTGTTCCGCCTGGGGAAGAGAAGGCTGAGGGGGGACTTGGTGCCCATCTGTAAGTATGTTTGGGGTGAATATCAGGAGCTGGGTGAAAAACTGTTTACTTGGGCACCGCAGGGGAGGACAAGAAGCAATGGCCATAAACTGTTAGAGGATGGTTTCAGGTTGGATACAAGGAAGAACTTCTTTATGGTAAGGGTTATTAGAATCTGGAATAGACTTCCCAAGGATGCAGTCCCCAACCTTGGAAGTCTTTGAGAGGAGACTGAACAGACACCTGGCTGGGATCATTTGATCTCAGCAGTATTCCTTCCCAGAGCAGACGGGTTGGACTCGATCTTTTGAGATCCCTTCCAGCCCTTAGTTTCTATGATTTCTATGACTACTGCACACCTTATTTCCTGAATGCACCAAATCTTTTTAAAAATGAACTCAGCTACTCTTACCTGAGGCATACATTAACTCTAGACTCATAGACATATTTATAAACAAAAGCAGAGATGGGAAGAAAAAGAGTGTACCAGCCTAACAATTCATTCAGATAGGGTACTTCATGCATAAGACATTGAGGCATAAGGTGCAGAGATGCTTGGGAGCAAAACTAAAAGGATGAGACTGCTGCCAAGAAAAGGCAGTAGAGTCCAAATTACAAGAGACAGAAGGACAAAGAGAGAACCAAAGGGCTAAGAGCAAGAAAGTTAGCTTGAACTTGATGTAAAAGAAATGGGGGACTCAAAGAGGATGGTGTTTTGGTCTGAATGATGTACTAAGAGGATATACTCTTAGCAAGTCCATTCCAAAAGAAAGTGAAGAAGGATGGTGATGTGGGTGCTTGGAAGGTAAGAAACAAGGACAAAGCGCGAGGTGGCATTTAAGGATGTGTAGATAACAGTTTGAATGGGGTGGACTAAGAGCTCCTAGATTCTGGAAACACTGCAGAGGAAAAAAAATGGGACAGAAACCTAGATAGGGTTCTGGGGACCAGGTTCTCTTCTCTGTAAAGGCAAATTTAGGAATGATCAAGAAACAACATACAAATTCTGGAAGAAAGTGCCTCACTATTTAACATCCCTCTGACTAAGTATGAAACAGCAGTCTCTGAAAGGTGATCAGGACATGAGGTCCTGGAATTTGGGATTCAAAGGCTGCTGACAAGAAGAGAGAAACTAGTGTGGAAACTACTCTCCCCTTCAGGTGAGAGTTCCCTGGCATGTGGCCAACTACCAGATACTACAACTCTGGAAAGCCATTCTTTACACAATAAAGAAAAAAGGTGGCAGTGGTTAGGGCATTAGCCTAGAACACAGCAGATGCTGGTGCAAGTCCATGCTCTGCCACAGATTTCCCATGTGACCCTGGGCAAGTTACTTGCCTCTCTGTGCCCCAGTTTCCCATCTATAATGGGAACTAATAGCACTTCCCTTCCTCATTCGGATGTTTTGAATAACAGAATATAAGACAATACTATAAACAGCATAAGCATCTAGACCAAACCTATACACAAACTCACTGCTAAGTACTGGGGTCCAAGTGTGTTCAGACTAGCCAGGTTTCCCCATACGGAAGCAGCGCTGATCTGCTGCATCTGCTGTTGGAGCTGCTGAGCAATTCGTTTCTGCTCTTTGTCTTTCTGAGTGTCTGCAAATTTAACCACAATGGGAGAAGAGCAACCCTGCAAATAAAAATTCACATTGTTACATCCTTACACATCACAGAAAACTTCAGCCACTACATAAATTCTGCATCAACTCCTCCATCAACTGGAGAAAAGTGTTCTTGCTCTCCTATATACAGGTTCCTTCCTATTTTAAATGGTTAAAGTCTCAGTTGTTTTTAATCTGTTATTTGCATTGTCTTTTGCTATTTGCTAATAAGATATTTTAAACAGATATTACAACTTAAGACCCCATCTACAGAGTTATTATACAATCATTTAGTTAGCTGCACAATTAAACTGAGACTAGCTACACATGCAAAGCACCAATCAGGCTATTAAAAGCTCCAACCAGCTATAAAGTTAGATATGTACTAACTTTATAGCTGGTTGCTGTCCAGCTTTAACTTGCACATAGCAAGGAATATATTGCTGCCAGTCCTCTGGCATCCCATGGTACATTGCTCCATCTCTAGTATAAACTTCTGAGCAAAAAAACAAGAAAGTAACCCCTGCCCCAGCATAGTTCTGAGCCCTAGGTTCATTCCACCTACCAGTAGCGCCCAGCAGGAGAAATACCACCCCCCTCAATGCAAGCACAGAGCAGATGAGCAGGGACACGCCTACCATAATGGAACATCCTGGGCAGCAGCAAGCATGGGGGAGTGGGTTGTCCCCCTACCCCCAACTTCCCCACACAAGCGCAGGGAGCCAAGGACACTGCCTGGAACAGCGCAGCTTGGATCTCCTGGGAACAGCAAACACAGGGGAGAGGGGAGGGGAAATCCCCACCCCCACACCCAATCTGCCAGGTAGCAGCAAGCTCAGAGGAAAATCCCCCTGCATTTTCATCCCAGGCATGTAGGGACCTGGGGATGCCCTGCTGAACTGGAACAGAGCCCTGGTCTCCTGGGCAGCAGCAGCAAGGGTGGGGCATTGGATAGGAATCCCCACCATGCTTGCTGTTTCCATGCAGACTGGGCTGCACTGTGGCCATGCAGGGGAGGGAATTTCCCCTCCCCCAGCTTGCTGCTGTCCAGGAGACCCAGGCTCTACTCCAGTCTGGCAGGGTGTCCCTGGCTCCATGCACAGGTGGGGGAACTGGGGAGAGGATTTCCCCTTCCCTCCTCCAGCTTGCTTCCAGCTGAAACGCTGGGGGAGGACTCCTTGACAGAATCATCTAATTCTTTCAGTGGTGCTGCTGACCAGTGAGAGCGCCCCCAGCTGTTCAACAGCTGCAGAACAAGCTGCTATTCCTTTTTCCCTCCTTCTGACAGCCTACCCTAGCAGTGCACATGGCATTATGTCTTCCTTGCACAAGGAGAGCAATGCCATGATTGAAATAACATTTAGAGACACCTTAAGACTTACTGTTGAGGAACCACTCACTCTATAACTTCAGAGGGGATAGGGCAGTACAGCCATAGTGCTTTGTGTCATGAACCCCACTGTGGTCTGTGGTCATTAATTTTTGTGTATGTTTCACTGATATGACACATATGGTCTAACTGAAAAGCCCATGTTATACTGTATCCATTTATGTTGCTGTTATCACTCTATGGATTATGTTACACCATCTGTATGTATCTTTATGCTTTTGGACATGGGTTAGTCAAGGAACTGAGGGATGCACGTTTAAGCAGAAAGCAGTGGGCAGAATTCCTAAATATCATTGTGTCACTAAAGCAAGAAGAATTGCCATTCCCAGACAGGCAGGAAGAGACATTATTGAGAGGTTGGCTGGGAGATATTTTAAGGGCTAGCTGTGACGTGGCAGGTCTTCAGATTATTCCCAGGCTGGAGAAGGGTCCCAGTCCCCAGCAGCCAGAATCAGCAGGAAGAACATTTTTTTGAGATACTGGCAGGATTTTCAAGGTGGGGCTAGGTGGTAGCTAGTAGAGAGGGTAAGAAAATTAACTTGTCTTTTTGTTATGTCTTCAAACTTAGCTTGTATATTTTTTTTTTGCTTGTATATTTTTTTTCTCCTACATAATAAAATCCCTTTATTGTTTTGTCTCCTTACTGGTTGCCTATGGAAAGAGAAATCTCTTGCTAAGTAATATTCCACGGTAGCCCATTCTATGGAAAGACAAGCCTAAAATTTTTTTCACAACTCAAAGATGAGCTACCTAGAGCTGGCAGATTCTCTTACTGCAGCTGTGTGGTTTGGTAGGGAAGTGGAGTCCAGGCTTGAGGGCTAAGGTGTTATTCCATGGCAAACCTTGGTTTTTTCTTTGAGACAAGCCATGAAACTGTGGGGAGAAACTCAGGGCTCTGGGGTTAGCATATGGATGCATTTTTAATAGTGTGGTAAGGATGGACAGAGGCAGAACAGCATAGCACACTGTCTGCCTATCCCTCAAACTTGTTGCAGTTACTTTATGGTGCAGCTGCCACCACATCTCTAAACACCTGCAAGTGTGTATGTGTGTTATGTGCACGTATGCACACACACAGGCACACGCACACTTATCCTACCTCCATAGTCTGTGCTTGGTGCATTGCTTTGATTGCTGTTTGTGCCATGGCTCTTGTTGTAAAAGTCACAAATGCACAACCTGGGGAAGAAACAGAAAGAAATTAATTCATCTATTAGGTTCACCCCAGAAATCAAAGGTCAACAAAGAAAAAAGGCCACTGGGCAAAGGTGCCTTGCCAATGACAGAAGGAGCCGAAATTTCAACAAGGGGTACAAGGGAAAGAGTCCTGAGGAGAATCCTGAACTGTCATGGATATTTTGTGCTTACCTCGGCTCAAGCCATCTGGGCCTCTTAGTATCCTGCATTCTTCAATTTGCCCAAAGGATGAGAACATCACCCGAATGTCATTTTCATTGCACTTCTTAGATATCATTCCAATAAAGAGCTTCCTATCTTCTACTGCTAAGAAATTAAAGAATAAGATCATTACCAGTAAAGCAGCACCTGCAGCAAACAGGGACTCCCAGAGCTCTCTTGTCTTAGGAAGCCCTGTTCAACTTTACCCAGTTGTTCTAGTGTTTGAAAATCACAGGCTGACAGAGCAAGTGCACCTGCAGTAAAAGACAGTCAAGATTACAAGGCTCTGAGAATCAACTCAGAGAGAGAGAGATTATTAAAGGTATCAGAAACTAGACTGTATGAATATGTATTGCTTCAACTAAATGAAAACTCTCTCCTTCAGCAGCTACTGCAGAATTGTTCCTTGTGGTGCATTTTCCAAGGAGTTGGCCAGCCAGGCTCCACCCCTTCCTGACTCTGAGATTTTACTCATTTAAGAAGATGTACCTGGGGCATTTCTCATGAATCTGAGAGGAGCCTACAAATATTTTGTTTTAGAACACACTGCTATATAATACGATGAACACTTCTGTTCCCTAAATCTGATGACTGGGGAACTGGTAAGGAACAAAGGACTGACCTTTTTTCCAGAAAGACAGCTTAGGGAAAGAGAATGAAGCTCCCCATTTATACACGCAGCTTGATGAACACAGGGCTTCTAGACTATATATGTCACCCTCAAAACTTAATACCAGTTTAACTGGGGAGAGATTTCATGCAACTTCCTGATACAGTTCTTATCCCTCTTCCTCCTCTGCCCCTTCTATATTTAAACTGTCACTATGAACATGTTAAATCTAAATAGAGGAATTGCCGTACCAGGCTGTGGTCAGACCCATTAGGTCCTATTCTAAGTCACGTAAAGCATGTCAACTTAATTGTCTTTGTTTTTCCACACGCCTGTCATGACTGGAAACTACTACAACTGCTAGAGCTAAGTTTCATATGCATCATAGACATCAAAAATGCTGCCCCAGATCAGCCCTGTAGACCATCAGAAACAATATTCTGTCCAACTTGGGGCAGTAGCAAGCACACCAGTAGAAGTTGCAGAAACTTTCTATTAGACAATTACAAAAATAATCTTGTCCAAAAGAAGAAAACTCTCCTGACTCTTGTCACTTAGTTCAGGAATAGAACATTTTGAATGTGCAGCTGGACACTTCTCAGGCAACCCAGAGACTTAGGCAGTGCTGGAGTGTGCACTCAGGACCACTCTAAGATGCATACATTGGCCTAATTGCTTGGCTTGGACAGCTGTAGAGGGGGTATGGGTGTATAGGGCTTATTTCCTTACTATTAAAAGCTTGAGCTAAATTCTGCAAAGGTCCTGCAGTTCTGTGGTTTTTTTAAAACCTTGCATTAATTTGACACAATTTTTTTTCCAAATGGGAAGTTCTGTTTAACTGAAATATGTAGAGAGATAACAATGAAGAGTAGCCCCATGTTATTTACTTTGACAGCATATTCAATGTATTTTGTGCTTTCCCTGCATTTTTGGTTTGTGATATACTAGTCACCCTTAGGTATCAGAATCTGTCCTCCATTTAGATCAGAGGTATCCAACTCATCCAGCTAGGGCTGGTCTGAAATTACGTAATTAGCTTGCAATGTACATGTATAAAAGTACAAAAACACAGTGTCATACCAAACCTTCATTCTGGCATTTTCTGGATTTTAAAGTGTTCTTGTAATAGTATGTTAATGGAGTGTTTGTGTATAAATAACGAGTGCATTTCCGCATTGATTCTGAAGAATTACTATTTATTATTTATGCTGCAGTAGCAGCTAAAGGGTTCAACTAGTGTGGGGGTACCACTGGACCAGCCACTATACAATATCATATTAAATAAACCCGCATCTTAAACAACCAACTACACAGATAACAGTGCCCAGGGTCAAACACTAGTCTAGATAAGCACTCACTGACTGCCTTCCAAAACAATAATACTGTTGTGTAATGAGCAGTAATAGTTTGGAAACCTTATTCTTATCTACTTGTTCTTTTGAAAGTATAACTTTCCGGGTCTCTGATCCACAAATTTCACCACACACATATCCTGAAGTTCTCCTGTCCAGAAATCATACTAAAAGGGAACTCCTAGAATTTTTCTATGAACATTAATGACACCCAGGTAAATCAGATTTTGGTACAGCTTACCATTATTTTTTTCACTGTCAGCTGGTTTCATCTGAATAGGATGGTGCATCTGAAATCCAAGAAAGTGCATCTCAAACTGGATGTATTCACTCAGTACATTGTGTGACACATTATCCTACAGGAACTATTGAGGACAGGGAAGCAAGAAAAAACTACTGGAACAGAAGGGTTTCATGGGACCCCACAAATTGCTAACAAAGAATCCCAGCGAGCCTTCCCTATATTCTTTATACTGATATGTCAGCATTGCTCCAAGTATCTCAAAGTGGTCTTTAGATTTAGCATGCACACTTCTCTGTCATTTCATTATCCCAAAATTCCTCAGAGTTCCGCAGCTGTCACATGTAGCTCATGCCCCACCCTCCTAAGTCACAGTTTAAGAGCGGAATAAGCAACCTTTTTCAGCTACAGGCCGGAATGATGCACCCGGGGGCAGAGGCAGGTGGACGGGCAGGCATTAGAACCTGGCTGCCACCACTGTTTATCTCTGTTGCAGCACAGACAGCATGTCCTTAGCCAAAGCCTCACATCTGTAGGTCAGATTCAATGGTTCCATGGACTAGCTTTCAGCACATAGACCCAAAGGTTGACAACTTCTGTTCTAAGCAAACCATGCAGAAGAGTAAGTTGATGCTTGTGCATCAGGGAAGCCTGAGACCTCAGGTCATGAAGAAGAAAAAAACCAGATAGAATGGAGGTCAGAAAAACTGTATCACTTTTCTTTCTTACCCCTGGGAGAATCTTCATGTTATGAAGAGCATTCTGTGCTTCTAGTGCAGCTTTACGGGTATAAAATGTAACAAAACAGCACCCTGCAGTGGAAACACAGAACATCAACAAGGTAAGAACATTCAGCTCCTATGGAAAATAACAGGACACAGATAAAGACTAACTTCCACCTGTTTAACGCAAGCTATTTGATAGGTAGCAGAAAGGGATTAAAAAATGAATACTACACCACTTTGGGGTAAGATGGGGAAAATCAGTATAATTAAATATGTGATATATTCAGTGACTGGGCTCAACACTCCCTGTATTATGCTGTGAAACAAACGTGCTCAAACTCCAGCCTGTGGAGTCATAGCATCTGGCCCACAGGGCTCCCCATGGGTCAGGAAATTTGGTGCTGGGGGAGCAGCAGCAGCAATTAATACTGCCACCCTGTCCCTGCTGCCAAATTCCCAAACCCAATGTTGTGGGTTAGAGCTGGGCCAAGCCCCCTCACCCTGTGCAGTTGGATCAGATACAGGCTGCATTCCTTTCTCCCCTTGTGGCCATATTGGGGCAGAGCCATGTCCCCTTCCCCCACAGGGAAGAGCCACACCCCCTTTCCTCACGTGGCTGGGTTGGGACTGGGCTGCTCCTCACTTCTACCTCTGTGAAGCTGGATGGCACCCTGCCACACCTGCCCCAGGCACTGGATCCAGGCCATGGACAGACCAGGCACCACTCATTTGGCCCGCTGGGCAAAAAGGTTGAGTAGCATTGTTTTGAAACATTAAAAAGTTCTCTCCACTCATCCCAACCCTAACTACCTAAAAGGTCTCTAGAAACAACTCTCACTGTTATAAGATAGGTGTTCCATTGCTAGCAGAATTTTTTAGTACACTCATCAGCCCTCACAAATCAGTTTACACAGAAGATGATTGTACTCCACCCTCCTAGTCTTCAATTAGTAGATAGTTGAGGGGGTAGCTATCAAAATCAAAAGTTATATATTTCATATTTGTTCAGCTTAGTTTTAAAGTCTCAGCCAATTAACATTTTCTTTAGGTAACTACCACAGAGACCAAAAGATCTGTAAAGACATTTTTACTTCTACACAGTGAGGTTTATGAATATCACCAATAACCACAAATAAAACACATTTATTGGTCATGCTAAACTGCAAGAACTTCTCTTTGTACATCCCTTCTTTTACAAATCAAGTGACATACATATTTAAAAGAAACCATTTAGTTAGCGTATATAACACTTCTGAAAGCAGCATCTGCACTTTTTTCCCCAAAGTGTTTTCTCAAGCATCATTTCAGGGGTGACTCGCCATTTCTGAAATGTAGCTATGTCTGGGGTGAAATATTGCAGCTGCCTAAACTTCCTGAAACATACTGTATCCAACTGAATTGCAGAGGAATGTAATTACTTGATGCACCATCTGGCTGGAACACTGGAGTTAGTCCTTTCTTACAAACTGTTGCACAAGTTATTCAATTGGCAGAAATGAGCAAGATTTGTTTGAATTTCATCCAAAGTATGATGCATCCAGTAAGGAAGTACACTGTAGCATCATGCTAGTCCACTGGCTCTGTCCTGCTTCAGGAGAAATTCAACACCTAGTCAGTAACTTGCATCCCTTGTACAACCACGTTCCTTTGCTGTCTTTCCATCTAAGCACGGTCATTCATCCAAGCATGGTCATCCCCAGCTTAGTTTACCTAATATGGTCACAGTACAAGATCTGGCTATGCATGGTGCAGATTTATTATTCAAATTCACTCACAGAATACTTGTTTAGGATTTTATATGTGCTTTCAATCAAGTATGTAGTTAGCATGATGCATGACAGAATACAGGAGGGAACAGTTGGGAGCTAAGTTTTTACCTGAAATTTTTATGGAAATTACTGAAATATCAGCAGCCCATTACTTCAGATCTAGACCAATGGAGAAGATGGAGCAGGAACAGATTCAAACCTATTTAATGCATGAATTACTAAAATTATTAGCAAAACTGTGAAACCACAAAGGGCAAGAAGATTTTCATTTAAATTTGATAATCTACAACTGCCTCACTGCCCCCCACTTTAAAATAAAGGAAAGTAACTAGTATGTAAAATGTTATGAATCTTCCCATGGACGATTCACAACGCAGTAAGGTTCTCACCTTTGCTCTGAGGAGGATTTTGGCTCCTGTCCCGTAGAACATTGATTTCGTAGACAGCACCATACTGTTCAAAGAGTTCTCTTAGATCCTTCTCACACCAGCTCCGTGGGACCTGACCCACAAACATCTTGATGGCATCTAGGTCAGGTTGGTCTGGATGATCCAGTGTGCCATTCATTTTCTTTGAGCTTTGAGAGACAGGGAGGAACTTGTTACATCATCATCTTAACCTTACCCTAGTTAAATGTCTTTCCTTCTAGGTATGAGATGACATTGCAGCTCCAAGCAGCCTGCTGATGGTGCTGTGGAGAGAGCTCTCAGTAACAATATTTTAAAAAGGACTTCTGCACATTCATACTTAAGCCAACTTAAACATTTAGAAACCACTCCTACTCTTCACTCAAGACTTATGTGCTTGGATATCAACTCTCCCTTCCTAGTTTAACCTTTCCTACTGCTTGCTGCAGCACTGTAATCAATATGCTGGATTTGGGACATCAGTTTTTTATGGAAATTCCTGAAATATCAGCAGCCCATTACTTCAGATCTAGACCAAAGGAGAAGATGGAGCAGGAACAGATTCAAACCTATTTAATGCATGAATTACTAAAATTATTAGCAAAACTGTGAAACCACAAAGGGCAAGAAGATTTTCATTTAAATTTGATAATCTACAACTGCCTCCCTGCCTCCCACTTTAAAATAAAGGAAAGTAACTAGTATGTAAAATGTTATGAATCTTCCCATGGACGATTCACAACGCAGTAAGGTTCTCGTTGATCCAGTAGCTCACAACATTCTGGGAAAAAGCTAGGCAATTCATCTTATGGCCATATTAGCCTTGGATACCATATTTAGCTTTAGAGGGTTACAAGACTAAATACTGTATCATATTTAGCTAACAATGAACCTGAAGTTCCAGCATTTTAAGGAGAGTGGAAGGAGAGTACTTGGTGTCCAAGCAGGGAGGGAAATTATTTCTAAGACTACAGTAATCCACAGTATGGGGTCTTCAACAGGTTACGTCCATCATTATGACTGTTTGCAATCGGTTGTTAGCGTTAACAGTCGTGTCATATGCCAATCTACCAGCTGATAATTATATAGTACAAAAATCATTGCCCTATTGTTTAGCTCTTGTACTTTGAGGTCTTGCTTTTAGTATTATAAGATTCCCATAATACTAGACCAGTCTCTCTAGGAGACTGTCTGAAATGGTATCCTGTACAGCAATGGAGATTAGCTGGGTGAAACTGCTGACAAGCCCTGTGCATAATCTAGAAGGGACAAAGGGAGGGGGCCAGTGACTGTGGAATAGCTTTCCCCTCCCACACTCTTTGTCTGATATCACAAGTGACTTCTTCTGGGCCAGTCTTCTTTTTCAGGTTTTGTTGGGTGATTTTATTTATGGTACTTTAAGGGAAACAGGTGCTTTATTACTCCTTACCTTATACTTATTTAGGAAAAGTGCCCATTGTTATCATGCTCTTAGTGTTAAAAAGTTTTACAGCATAGACATTTTTAAGAACTTGTATTAGCAGTCAAGTTTCTACATAATTCTGGTTTCCCATACAATACACTGGGTACAATTCAGACACATAAGATGGCAGCTGGTGTCATGAAGAGCTTACATGTTTTCAAGAAGGATATACACAGAGGTGAGGAAACAAAGTTCTTTACTGGAAGAAGGGGAAAAGGGGTGACAGTACCCTTCACTCCTCCAGTGCTCCCAATGGAAGGGATTGGTGTTTTTCAAAGATTCACAAACACCCAACTCTTTCTATTAATTGGTGAACCACATAACACTTAAAGTCTGACAATGGACAATTGAGAAGGGTTAATTTTCCTCAGGAAGTCACTCTCAGTCCTAGTTTCATTCCTGTGGGAAGCTCGAGGAGAACATAATGGCTTCTGGTAACTTCACCTCTAGTTATAACATGACCTCAGTGATAGTTCAAAGATCATTTGATTCCATATCAAAAAGGGTCATTCAGACAGGAGGAACCTGATTTATTCCCTAGCACTGAAAAGTCACTGATTTCAGGGCATCAGTACAGTAATTTGGACTGGATTCTGTTAACAGTGCTGCCAATTCATTCTAATCAAAGGAATGAACTGGTGTCAGGAGCAATGACTTTTTTCCTGCCCAGAATGCATTAGCTGGTAACTGTCTCTAGGATCTCTTCCACAAAGTATTTCAGAAACTCTCCTTCATTCTTTTCTTTAAGGGGAATGCATTAAACAGAAGAGAGAGACTTCAAACGCAACAATTCCAGCCTCTCAAAATAAATACAAAAGCATATATGAAGATACAAAATACTTACACAGGGCTAGCATTCAAGGAGCAATGGTCCACCATCATCTCTGGGAGGAAATCCAACTTAAACGCAGCCATCACTTCTCTGTCTGTCACAAACTACTAACACTAAATCAATGTACCCCCAAACAAACAACGCCACTTCCTAAAGTCCTGCAGGTCTTAACACACTGAGCCACACAAAAACAGTCAAACCACAGAAACAGGAGCTCAGGGAGACCAGCAATAGACACGACAGAAACAGGCTGGACTGGGAAAGGGACATAGAATCCTGGATTAAAAAGGGGATGTGACCATGTGAAGGGAGGCTCAGATCAGTACACAATGAAAATGCTGATGCACTGGGCTTGTTTTGTGCAATTTTCCCTGGCGAAGCAGTACTGAATGCACTGTCAGATAAACAGTGTGTCAGATCCATGAAGATAGCAGTGGGTGACAGAGCAGAAAGAACACAAACTCTAGCTTGCAGCCCCCAATAAACTTCTTACCCCACACATGCCAGCCCAAGCCCCTGATGTCCTTAAAGACAGGCTGTTCCTGAAACCAAGCCTTTATGTCACCATATTATTATTGATACCTTATAGGATCAATGCAAATCAGAGGCCTTTTAACATGAAGAGTTCTGAGAACAGAGTTTTAAATATAATCCCACTTCCTTCAACCTTAGGTAGAATGCTTTAAGCCTGGTATCCCACCCAAGGCAGACACAGATGCAAACTGGAAAGATACCCAGAAGCTGATACAAAGAGGTTTGACCACTCAAGAACTCCTTCCCATATACAGAAAAACACCCTCAACTTGTTTCCTATTATAGATAAACATATATATAAATTCAATGATACGTGTATACAGGGGATGCGAGGACAGGGGTAGGAGACAAGCAGCACACCAGAAATCAAGAGCCCAATGTTTGTCTGCTGGCAGCAATTCACTGTTTAATTTTGGAAGTTAGTTGCACATATGCCTCAGTGTTCTTGTTGTTAAACTGGGATAATACATGCTGACCTCTCTGGGGCTGAAGTATAAAAATGTGTGAAAGGTGTTTTGGCAGCCTGTAGCAAAAGGTGCTTCAGACAGTACAGGCCTATGTTGCATATAGGACAAAAAACAAAGGAGCCCAATACTGGGAAATCTGACCAATAGCGACTTGAACAGAGGCAACATGAAGAATTATCTGCAAACTGTTCTTGCATTAACAGCTACCCCCACCTCAGTGCAAAGATCACGGCCCATTTTCTACTTGGTATTAAATATCAAAGGGGCTGAGTCTCAAATACACCAGTTTCATCAGTTTGGAAACTGGATTTTATACCACCTAATATTCCAGCAGCACACTTTAGTCTGGCCACCCTGGGAAAAGGTTGCTTTACACTCTATTGCGTGGTTTAAACAGGGAAAGGTATAAAGGGGATCCCTTCCAGTATCTATGTAGTCACGTACTGTGAATTCCAGTCTCAGCCAACAGCTCAGAACACTGTCAGAGCTGAATACCCCTTGCCATACAGATTTCCTAATCAGTTGTGGGCTTTTGTCTTTCTTGTTTGTTACGGGCTGGTCAAGAGCAGATCTTCATGTTAGATGCTCCTGGAAAGTAGCTTTTAAGAGGAGCTACTGTGATTACTGAGAACACTTCATAGGAGTCTAATAATAATCATTATGAGCAACTCCTCTCATAATCTTCTAATCTTTGTTCCCCAAAAAATGAAGCCATTTTCATTCTACTGAACACAAAGCAGACATAATAGTTTAAAGGCAAAATAACATCAAATCCTTCTATTGGCTCCTTGCTGCTTTCACTGTAAAATTCAGACACTAAGGCTTTGCCTTCCAGGTTCTGAACAAGTCTCTTCCTCCCACCACATTAGTTTTCAGTTACCTTAACTTTTACTCTCACTTCTTTCAATTCTTCTGAACCTTTCTCCAAGTTGTGCTCATAGTCTTCTCTTTCTCCACTTAAACTCTGTCTACAGTAACCCTTATAATTTGAAGAGTTTCTAGTTTAATTCAAATTCTGCCAAAGACCCTTTCCCGTGAAGTCTGTCAATTAACAACTGACCAAGACATGGAAAAAAAAATATGGTTCCATTTAAGAGTGAACCAAGCCTTGGTGGGGATGATCTAGTTGGGGATGGCCCTGCTTTGAACAGGGACCCATTTGTAAACACTGATGGCCAGTCCCAACCCAGCGCCCTTCACTCCTGACCCACTGCTCCTCCAGCCCCAGGCCCCAACCCCAGCCCCCGCAGTGTGGGGCAGGGGGAGGGACCCAAGCAGCCCCTTGCAGGCTGGAACTCTGCCAGCCTGCAAAGGAAAAGCCATGGCTTTCCACGATTTTCTCCTTTAAAGAAGAATCCATTTTTAAAGTTTGTTGATCCATTTACAGAAAGTTTGTTTGGACCCTTTCATATATTCTTGCGACCCACTTTTGGGTCACAACCCACAGGTTGAGAAATGCTGGATTAGATGACTCCTGAGGTCCCTTCCAACCCTAATTTCCTACGATTCTATGATTTACCTGGCAATCCATACATATAATACCAATCTGGAGTGTAAGACCTATAGGACAAAGCCACTTCTATTCTAGGTACTATACAAGCATAATAAAAATATTTTAAAATTGTACCATTTCATCCAAGTTATACAACTGTGAATATTTACATTTATATTTTAAATGATTTATTTACAAAACAGGAACATTGAATGTCTGCACACTGACAATTTGTAACAGAAGTGCTGCTCAGCACTTTAGCACCAAAGAGAAAGCAGAGAATTTCAACTGTGCAAAGCCATAGTTTACCCAGTACTGATCTTGCTTTAGTTAAAAAAAAGCTATGTCTTCAGATTTGTCTTCACCTGTTTTAAGCTTGTGTGAAATGCTTATCATATTTGATAGGTCAAAAGTATCAAGCAATCTGTCCTCTGGTTCTGGGGTGCACACTTAGGGAAGGGGTGCACTGGTATCAAAAAGCCAGCTGGTACAGATTTGAAAATGCATTAAAAGCTCTGATTATGGAAAGCATCTCTGATCATGCTACTTAAAATACTGGCAAAGTTCAGTACCAGAGCAGTAAAGTGCTAGGTTGTCAATGGGAGATATTTTAATTTAAAATATTTTAGGTATAAGTATTAGTTAGTTAGTTTTAAAAGTAGAAGGTGATATGGCCCTTAGATTGAGCTTCTGCCAATACCAGTAAAAGTGCGAGAGGTTGCATTCATTTTTATAATATAAGAGGAGAGGGTGATAAATTGTAAAATTTTTTTGGTATTATATCCAGTTCTGACAGTCACTCCTGTTTTTCATCTACGAAGGAAGTGGGAGAAACTGCTTAGCCTAATAAACAGCCTTTTAAGATGTACTTATGTGAAATTCCTGCTGGCTTCCAGTTCCCAGGTAAAGGTGTGCCCTATTCTTCACCTACTGTAGCTGGAAATTTAAACTAGATTATCTGTGGGGTTGTTGGCTACATATTAAATGTATTGATTTTTTTTACCAACTTGATAATACTGACATTAGGGTTAAGTACAGTCAGTCAAAACATCCAAGGCTGAATTGATTCAGTTTTTGTAGGTTAGTCTAAGCTGCAAAGATTGAACCAATAAGCAAATGAACAGACAATCACTTTTGATTCAGGAAATGCAGCCACATGCCTGTAGTGGCTCAAGCCAGAAGCTGGGGGGCACTAGAGCATGGTTCTCTGGCGCACAGCCAGCATGGGCTGTGTGTTCACTTCCTCTTCTTCCTGCCCCTGAGGTCTCTGGTATTTGCAGTCTAGACTCACAGCAGCAGGACTATGCAGAGTTGCTCATCACTTCCTCTTCCTGCTTCCAGGTGCCTCTGCAATTTGTAGTCCTCAGTCATAGCCAGCAGTACATTTGAACAGGGGAAGGGGTGTTTAACCTCCCTCCCTGGCCCTAGACCCTAGCAAGGGTTTGCTGGGGAGGGGCAGTTCCTCCTCCCCCCCGCCCCCCAACTGTAGACTGGGCTGCATCCCCAGCCAGGCTTCCCCCTCCCCCACCTCCTTGTCAGTCAGCCCTCAATGACAATGCTTCAGCTAGGAAGTGGGGGGGGGGGGGGG